ATGCAGTTACTCACCCAAGGTACTCATGGCTCAGCAGGGATTTGAACCCTGGTCTCCCAGGTTCCAATCCAGCATTGACCATTACACCACACTGGCTAGAACCATGATAATAATTATGGCTGTGTGCCTGCGGATCATATGTGATATAAAATCTTGCTTCTATATTCCGCTCTGGAAAACAGAGGTACATTTAAAATTTTGGAAGTTGTTGCATGATAGAATCACTTGTGAGTCAATTCCTTTTAAGTCAACTTTTCCTTCTTCAGAATAAATTGTTAAGGGATCCCTCCTGTATTTTGGATATTCATTTAAATCAAATAAATAAACAAATAAATCTGTTACTAAAAATATCTACAGCTTCTTAACCATGACTGTTTTGGTATTACAACATTGATCAGAAGCAGGATTTTGTGGCTGACATCGACTGAGGAACCAAATCATTGCCATCTCCATGAAAGTGTCAGGGCATAATTATTCCTATTTTATTGAAAAGCAGCTTTGGTGACCAGTAAGATTGAAATGAATGTGCACTCCATCCACACACACCCCTTCGTAATCAAAAGTATATCCTCTGCAAAGTTTAACAGCGAATGTTCTTGGATTTGTAAATATTCAGAGAAGATTTGATATCCAACATGATCTGACCATTCAACATCTGGTAGCATCTGCCATGCATCAAGCAATACTTTACAAGCATCTGAGAACCAACATGCAATTGCAGTCAGCAATTAGCTGTGCTGGGCAGCATTTAGCACGATCTGACGTGCAGCAGCTGATATTTGATGATTGGCATGGCAGAGAAGCCAGCATTTATTTATTTTATTTCCTAATTAAAGCCCTTGATACATTTTACAATACTGTATACTAAAACAATAAAAGGATACCTCATGAAACAAGAATGAACCCTCTTAAATTGTTTCAGCCCCTTCTGTTCATGCTTACTCAGAAGTAAGTCCCACCTTTCTTCAGCAGAGTTCGCTCTTACAAGAAGTGGTGCCTAGAACTGCAGCGTCAGGCCCCACAAGAAGCTGCCCTCAGCACCTCAAGAGCTGTATGGCTGCACAATCATTGGGTGCCTTTTTGTGGAGCATATTGTGCCCCTCTTTTACTTAGGATTAGTTTAATTCTTGAGAAAACAATTGTGCCATTTATTTTAAATATATGTAAAAACAACTTGTACACCTCACATTCACCTGAAACCATACAATGTTACATTTTCTATTGATACAGGTCAAACACTTCTTAACACTATGATCAATGTTTTAAAGTACACTTTGAAATTTGCTCCTATCATTTTGCAAGACACCTTCAGTGAATTTAAATAGCTATGTATTTGATTTCACCCTCAAACAGTGCAGATACTTTTCTCTATTCTATAATTTATATCTGTCTCTTTGCACCCTCAATTGATTGCAGATGCAAAATTTAAGGCCAAGCTGAGGCCACTTTAAAAAAGTTTAGCTGTTTCCATTTATTTTGTATATAAATCTACATTCACTGTGATCCATCTCTCTGCTGATATAATGATATGATGATATGCATGTTTAAGGCTTTTCCTATTTTATTTTAGAGGGTTGAAATATGTGCAAGTGTATTTCATGAAAAGAAGTGAGCCGAAATTATCAAGTTAGCAAAATTAGTGACTTTTTTGCAATGCTTAGAAGATACATGTTTAAAATGCAATATTGAAAATGTGCTTTAATTCATGGAGGGATCCAAATGTTCAATATATGTTGTCTCAATATAATATATTTCTGCCTGAAGGTGGAGATGAGCGCCACACACCACAGTCAAATTTGACTGAACTTAACCGTCCAGGGGTCCTTTACCTTTACATATAACAGTGCTTTTTTTCTTAAAAAATGTTTAGGGGTACGCTCATTTTGACTCAAGCAAATCACCATTTTATAGTTCAAATCGGGAAAATAAATACAGTAAATGGACAAACATACAGAGATTCAAAAAATGTTTAGGGGAATGTGTACCCCAGAAAGAAAGCACTGCATATAAACAATCATATTCATATTGACACATACATATAAAATTTTGAATAACCACATCTGACATCACTAAAAAAGTAGTATTATAATTAGTAAAAGAGCATCTTATAATTCACTTCTTAAAATCATTAAATCAAACCAATTGTTTAACCAAAATTTGTAGATTTTCTTCCAGTATTGGAAAAAGCTACTGTTCCAATACTTTAATTTTCCTGGAAGCTACCTTGTTTTCCACTGTTATTAAAATTCTACTTGTGATAATATATCAGCATTATAACTTGAATGTACCTCTCTAAAATACCCAAAATTGGCACAAGTTGTCCAGAGGAATTAAATCACTGTTTTAATTGATGTTACAAGGCCTTTATTAAGACTAACTAAAATGCTCATAACCCTGAACAAGCTTTTGAGTTTCCCAGAACTTTTCATCAGGCTGGATATTAAGTGTTTGTTTAGGGGGACGGGACTGGCTTGGTGTTAAAGCAGCACAGACAGAACTGAAAGTCTTAAAATAAAATGCAGGATATTAGGCAACAGATTTGATTAGGTTCTCCCAGGTGTTACATAGGTTTCAGATTGCATCAAGGGTTGCTGGGACACAGAAACCCATTTTGAAAATATAAAATCCACAGTCACCTGGTTTTGTCACAAGCCTTGAACAAAACACACAGATCTCAGTTAAAAAACAAAATGAAACAGAAACATGGAGGTTTTTATATTCGCAACATTGGAGATTAATTTTGGGTGGTGCTCTAGTTTTATAAAATATATAGAAGGCAAATTGCATAGCATTACTTTGTGGTTGAAGGGAATGTAAAACTCAGGAAACGTAGAGCCCCATCTTCAGGTGGCAAAAATTTATAGTTCTCCTCCATTTTAGTTTTTAGTACTTTCCCAAACACCAGGTTGTGTGAGAATAATCACTAAATGAGAATTGCACTGTCTTTAGCTTACACACAATGCCAAGAGTTAGGAAACACATCTGGGTAAGTTTTTCCTCATCTCCATGGAGTAAGATGCCAACATATTAAAATCTTACAACAGTTATCTGTGAGACCAAGACAAAGTAACGTACAGCCTAAATTTCAATAGACAAGAGTCAACGGAGGAAAGAGAGAAGGCAGAGAAACAAGAGGCAAGTATCGGCAAATGTGATTATGTGTACCCATTGATAATATTTAAGTATTAATTTTAAAAAAATGTTCAACATTTTTTAAAAAAACTGTATACCTCATGCTGCAAATTGCATGTGCATCCGTTTTTGTAGAAGAATCTATATGCAAGTAGATTACTGGGCGGAACAATGCAGGAAAGGAAAAAAACATTTTCTGCTGCCTTGGCTCTTCTGCGCCCAATTCTCAGTATTATGCATGTCAAAATAAGCCCCCTTGAATTCAATGCAGCTTTTTTCCAAGTAAGGGCTCATTGTCGTGTTACTGTTAACTATTATTACTGACTATCATTGGTATCCTCCTTTTCCACACCTGAGATGCACAGGGTTGTATGCAAGAGTTACGCTTAACGGATGGTAAAGCTTCTCTCAGTGGAGCAGGGCACCTCTTCCTCTGTTCAGCTGTATTCCTCTTAATCTGCCGTGGAAAGCCTTCCAGTGCTCTGCAGCAGATTTTGGGTGTGTGCAGGGCTGCAGTGGGGAGGTGGAATCATGGAAATGATCTCCCTTTCTCTATTGTGCTGATGGAAGCTGAGTGACACCAACATCAAAATGCTGGCTGGTAAGGCGGGCGAGTCCTGTTGAAGCCGTGGTCGCTTAGTTGAATGCAGAAATGACGGGCAGCACATGCCATTGCTCTCCCATACAAACCAACTGAGCTAGCCTTCGCACACTGTGCATAGTTAAACTGTGGAATTTTCTACCACATATGTTGTGATGGCCACCAACATAGAGATTTGACAAGTTTGTGTAGGATAAGGCTATCAACAGCTACTAGCTATAACGGCTGTGTTCTCCCTCCACTGCTGGAGACAGTAGGACTCTGATAGTTTAAAGGTGAACCTGCTTCATTCAGACTTACTGAAACAATATGCACACTGAAACACAGCAACCTTTGACATTTGCACTTCTCCAAATCTTGTAACACAGTTCTCCAGCTGAGTAATGGGGGGGGGTGGATATATTTGGTTAAATGTGCATTAAAAGATGCATGGACTGGTAAAAGTAACATACAAAATACATTATACTAGGGGCATTTGTTGAGAAGATGAATCTCCACAAGGACTTATTTTATCTTATTTTTAAAATGCAAATGTGGAAATATGAGAACTGAAGTTAAGGTTTGGAAAACTGAGAAACCAAAATGGGCCGATTCATCCTAGCCTCTTAATACCTGACGGCACATGGGAATCGCAAGCGGTGAGAGTCCTGTTTTGCTCAGGTCCTGCTTGTAGGCTTCTGGGTGGCATCTGGGTGGCCACCATGAGAGCAGGATGCTGGACTACATGAGGCTTTCTTCTGATCCAGAAGGGTTCTTCTTGTCTTTCTATGCTCTCCTGCAGTTTGGTCCAGTACAAGATGTAAAGTCCAGAATCCTCTTGTCAAAATTGCCAACCAGATACAATCCTAAGAGGAACCCTGTACTGTGATAGCATCAAATCATAGAATTGTAGCACTGGAAGGACCCAAATGGTCACCTAATCCAACCTGCTGTATTGCAGAAATCTCAACTAGATCATGCATGACATATGACCACCCAACCTCTGCTTAAAAACCACCAAGGAAGGAGAGTCCACCACTTTCCAAGGAGGTTCATTCCGCTGCCAAACAGCTCTTCCTGATGTCATAATCTCTTTCCTTGTAACTTGAAGCAATTTGTTTAGGCTCTACCCTACAGAACAGGAGAAAACAAGCACGCTTCATCCTCCATGTGACAGCCCTTTAGATACATGAAGCTGGCTATATTATCTTCTCTCAGTCTCCTCTTTTCTAGTTACAGGTAGGTAGCCGTGTTGGTCTGCCGCAGTCGAAACAAAATAAAAAAATTCCTTCCAGTAGCACCTTAGAGACCAAATAAGTTTGTTATTGGTATGAGCTTTTGTGTGCATGCACACTTCTTATGCACACGAAAGTTCATACCAATAACGAACTTAATTGGTCTCTAAGGTGCTACTGGGAGGAATTTTTTTATTTTGTTTCCTCTTTTCTGTGTCATGATCCAAGACTGCCAGATACACACTCCTGTTTTCTAACATATTGTGCCTTTTTGTTTGATTTTAATTATAACCCGCTTGGATCAATCATGTCTAGGAAAGTGGTGTCATAAATAATTTAAATATAATGAATGGATTGATAAACGTATATTGTACATTTGCTCCTTGAGGGAGCTTCAGAGGATTCTGGCAGTCATCCATGCAGGCGCTCCTCAGACTCGCCCTCACTTAGGTTTAGTCTGGTATCAGTAGCATAGGGCTTGAGACCATAGCGTTAGTTGTCCAGCTTGCTAGCAGGACATCATATGACTGCTAAGTTACATTATCTTGATTTGATTCCATGTAGGAGGACATGTAGACTCAACTCCTGAGCCCACGCACTTGGGAGTAAGTCTCACTGATGTTGATGGGGATTACGTTTGAGTAGAAATGGATGAGATAGCACTGCAAATCAATTAAATCAGTTGATTAATCAACAAACATTTAGTTTATTAATTTAGTGGAATATTTTAATTGGTAAAGGGGAGGGTGAAGAGCAGGCTTGTTTGAAGCAATTAATTTCTGGAGTTGTTGTTTACTGTAGATTTGATTTCCTTGCAGGAAATTCTTTGAGGAACAGCAGAGTGATATACAGTGGTACCTCAGGTTAAGAACTTAATTCGTTCTGGAGGTCCGTTCTTAACCTGAAACTGTTCTTAACCTGAAGCACCACTTTAGCTAATGGGGCCTCCTGCTGCTACTGCGCGATTTCTGTTCTCATCCTGAAGCAAAGTTCTTAACCTGAGGTACTATTTATGGGTTAGCGGAGTCTGTAACCTGAAGCGTATGTAACCCGAGGTACCACTGTATTTGCACCAAACCATTTAATGCTTTGCTGGTCTTATTCAGCCACATACATAGCCTGCATGTGGAGATTCCTGCATTGCAGGGGTTTGGATTAGGTGTCCCTTCCAACTTTACAATTCTGTGATTCTGTGATTTATTCAAAAGGAAAATCCAGGTATCCTGGCCAGGTCTTGTGCATTCCCAGAAGAGACCACATGAGGGATGCCAGCTGTATGAACCGGTCTACTGCTATGCCAGCAATGACCTGGTTGGTAGATGCCAGGATCAAACTGGCCAGAAGTGTGATGGAACTGGAAACAATTTTCCTTTCTGGTGCTAAGTAGAACATCTTGAGCTTCCACATAGTCAACTAAGTTAGAAACAATCATACATACCTAATACTGAGTAGCAGGTTTCTATAATAAGAAACTTTTCATAGCAGACCTTTTCAGTTGTGCCCCCTGCCGCACGCAAATGCTCGTCCCATTCAGGCCTGACGAGAGCTAACAGTAACATCTTTCTGGCATTACATTAAGACCTACCTCTTATCCTAGGCAGATGCTGAAATGTGATAAATTGGTTACCTTGGCTCATGTACATCTTCTTTATTTTTCATTGTTGTTTTAAATTAGTGGGTATTGTTGCTTTATTAATTTTGTTGTTGCATTGATTTTAAATCTTCTTTTTCTTGCTCTTTCAGTGAGTCGCCCAGAACCTGTTGTATGAGGCAATAAAGTAATCCTTATAATAATCAGTAGTACAGGACAAAGTGACCTGTTTCTTACATCTTGGACGAGTTGATACATTACTGTTTTAATCCTTACACCTATAGAAGTAAAATATGAATAGAACAATGTTATGATTGTCTATGTTTTAAATAGAACACACACAGTTTTAATTCCATTAAAGTTTGTTTTTTAATTAACTGTCCTAGAAATTGTTGTCCATCCATAGTGCTGAGCCGTTGTTCCAAGTCCACACATGAAAGCCTGTCAGAGCTGTTAACTCATCCAAAAAAAGGTTTGCATTTACCTTTTGGAGCATTCATGTTAAAAGTCACATATCTTGCCATCCTAAAATCATTGCCATGCTAACTATGTCAGGTGTTAGACAGAGCATCTCACCGTACTGATCCTGCAAAAGCTTAACTCTATATTTAAATAACAATTATAATATTGAAACGGGCCAGGAGAATTTTTGCTTGGACATCTGTTTGACGTATAATAGGAGGCTATTTTAAAAGTTGCTCCACAAAAACAAATAAAGTCTTCCACATTCCCAAAGAGAGAAACCATTTAATCGAGTCATACAGTTCTTTCAAAGAATGTAACATTTTGGCAGGAGGTGGATGTCAGGACAAAGAGAGCCCAGGAGATTTATAAGGGCTAATTTATGTCTCTAGCAGTTAAGGCATGTTTCTGGGCAGCCTTGCTCACCACGGGCAGTATTTTCCTTCCTGCACATTTGTATTGTTTCAGTTTATAATAGCAGCACGTCTTGTGAGCTCATTTATTGCCTAGCATGAAGGTACGGCTACCCCATTTATTACAGGTTGATATCAACACCTAGCCTGAGATGACTTGCTGCCCTCTGGATGTGCATACTATAGGTGATGAAATCATCTATTTATCTACACCTTATTAGATGTGTTTGATTGACTAGGGATCCATTTTTTTGTTTAACCAACTGTGCAGGATACTGGCGAGGAAGTTTCTGGGTTGTACCACTGTGATGTTTCAAAACAGCAGTTAAAATAATTATCATAATATGGGGCCGCTGGGCAAGTTTGTAACACATGTTTGGTGCGCTCTAAAGAAGATGGTAGGAACCAAAAATATAAAACATATGGAAAACTCATCCAGCTCTAAAGAAAATCAAAACCCCGCTGTCCCTCCTTTATAAATTGGGAACTGTACAGTAAATGTTTGGGGTAGCCCAGGCCACCAGTAGGTCTTTCCTGCCATCAGTGAACTTGTGACCTTATTTCCTCAGAGGGCTGTTAAAATGAAGTCAGAGGGCAGTCGAGTTATTTGCTAGCACCAGGTTCACTTGTGTGGTCTCAAAAGTTAACAGATTTCTTCCTTTTTTTAACCAAGAGGTTCGTGGGGAAGTGGAAGGAGCAATAGATTAGCTCATCACAACAAATATTATGTTGTGACATGTGGATCACAAGGTTAGGAGAGTTTATCAGAAGAGCATGAATCTTCATTTACATACAGTTATCAGAAATTGGTATATGGAGCTACTTTACAGCTAGAGATGGGTCAATTGATCATTCCAGAATAATGGAGATGGGACAAAAGAGGGATTTCAGCTCAGGGTGCATCTACTAACCCTGCTCTCAATTCTGACACAAAAGTTTTTCAGGGTTTCACAGGTTTCCAAAGTGAAGTGGTAACTGTCTCCAAAGGAAACAATGGCACTAAACATTTTTTTTTAAAAAAACAACAACACTTGTCTTTTTCTGGAAATTTTTCTACCTGACTGAAATAATTGTTTTAAACTTGCAAATCAATGCTAGAGAATTTTCGGCACAGCCGAACTTGTATCTTTAATCTATTTTTCTTTAATCTATTTTTCTTTTATTCCATGACTTTGTAACTTTTTAGAGTATACTTCTGAGGAAACAAGCTGGTTTGATTTATTAAAAGTTACAACATAAACAATTTAGACCCTAATATCTGAAAAACCATCTCCATCCCTACCAATTGTCGTGGTGTTGAGATCTGCAGAGGGGGCTGCGTTGGCAGTTCTGCCACCCTTGGAACTGCAGGGTGTGGTGCCTGGAACTCCTTCCCCACAGAAGTGCATCTAGCACAGATGAGGAGAAGCTTTCACTCTACAGATGTTGCTGAACAACATCTCCCATCATCCCTGACCATTGGCCACGGTTGATGAGGCAAGTGGGAGTTGTACTTTGGAAACATTTGGAGGGCAGAGGTTCCCCACACCTGCTCTAGCATCTTCGTGGTACAGGTCTCAGTGAATGCTGTTGACATACCTCTTCACCTTGGCCTTGGACCATTAAGGTATTTTGTTTTCGTGGTGTGCCTCCTTAGCTGAATTTCTATTGCTCTGGTCCATTTTGGAATGGCGTTGTGTATTTTATCTGTTTTAAAATTGTATTTTCTGATTGTGCAACCTGCCCTGAAACCTCATTCAAGGTGAAAGGCGGGAGGTTGATTAATTACTTATTATTGCCTCATGGGGAGCAGGATCTTTTGCAATGCTGTGAGCCTTCCAGCCTATGTTCAGCATATATATGTGTAGCTCCATACCGCATATGTCTACGGTTACCTTCATTCGAAGGACATCATATGCGGGGACCCTAGATGCCACTCGCCCCTGGGTGACAGGGATGTAGCACACAACCCCAATCTCTAAGCAGTGCGAGGTTCCAGGCACTCAGCCAGGGTCCATGTTTCCTTTTGGAAATGAGACACAGTAGAGACTGTATTGTCTATATGATATACGGTTTTTTTACACATATATACAACCTGGGCCTGCAATGGAGAGGTTTACAGGATTAATACTCCGAAAGGGTCTTATTTCCCCCATAGCTGCTGCCTTGGATCCCAGCAGAAAGCAACCATGGTGATCTGCCTCTGCCTTTTCCAGCCTGCAACCTTCCCCCCAATAAGTCACATCACAGCCATCCCAAATTCCACTTCAACTCTGCTTTTGTCTTCTAAGACTGGAGGAGGGGACCCTCCCATTTGCCTCCTTCCTAAGGGCTTGTCACCTTTCTTTTCTTCTCCTGATGGCCTATCACAAATTACCTCATCAGAAACTGGCCTGGGGCTTTTTGACTGTCACCCAGAAGCCCATAACAAGAGGAGTCTAAATCTAATAACACAAGGGAGTCCGGCGCTCACAAACTCATAACACTATATGGTTTATGTGTGCAGCAAGACCATTAAGTTCAGTGTCCGCCCCCCCCCCCCCCCGAAAAAAATCTTCAGGGCCATCTTCTCCCTACCCCTATCCCTCACTAGGCTCTTCCAACTAGCCACTCTCTGGTCTCTGAAAACTCTGATCCTAAACCTCTGCTGCCTTGCAGGATATCTTTGGAAGAAGAAAAGGCTAAAGAGTAAACCCGACACAAATCCAGAGTGGAGTCTCTGAGATGGCTGGATGGAGC